TGGAGGTAGCTGGGTAGCATGAGAAAGCTTTAACAGGAAGAGCTCCGGCCAGCAGCTTCCAACGACCCATCACCTATCTTGATGTCTTTCCTGGTATGTCTTGGGTATGTCTTTCACGCATTCATAGATGGAGTCTTACTCTCCTTCCAGAGTACCTTACCCTTGACCTTTCGACCCATACGCTCCTATTCAGTTCTTTCAACGACCTGACATGGATGGTTACGTCGACACCGAGCGGGTAGACCGGTAGGTTTTTATCTGTGTTGGGACTTGGATTCTCATATTATTTTAGAGGTTTCGAGTCAGTTGTTCAAGCTCTTAGTTTCCGTTTTGTTTCTTCCCAGTACAACCCAATCCATTCAAATGAAGATCAATTCCTCTTGCCTTGGCAGCATTTCCTCGCTCCAACGTTAATGCCAATGTCCACTTGAGGACACCATCCCGATTTGGCGAATAACTTCCAAAGACCAGCCGTTGTGGCGAGCTATATCTCTTTCTCCCGCGACTCGCAACCTTTTCGGTGAACACCATTTCACGCACACGTCGACTTGGCCATGACGCAGCACATGTTGCTCAGATGATGTCCGGATGAAGCTATCGGCCGTCCTTACGCACTGTTCGGTCCCTTATAGGGGGAGAAACAAACACCTTGCAGCCATCACATCGCTCGAATGCTTTACCATCAACGCGCCCGCGAAGTCCGCATCTGGGCACGCCAGGTTTCGTCATATCCTCGCCATCGATGGCCTGTCCTGTTCATTGAGGGCGGTCAAACAGGTTTTACCTGTCATGGGCGGCGTATCACGGACGATGGACCGAATACCGAATGCTTCCCCACAACGCTTTCTTACCCTTTCTCGTCGCAATTACGTTACGGCTTCACTCATGACATCTTCGACCTACATTTGAGGTCTTCATTGCTTGAAGCGGCATTGGATGTGGTCAGCTGGAGCTGTTCCGTCGAATTTTTCATGCGCGAAGTACTAGTTGGGACCAGGCACCTATATGTTATTCATACATTCCTGCCATTGTCCATTGAACGAAAATCTCTTGACACAGTCTTCGTGATTCATACTCTATCTGGCCTCTACATCTACATCCACCCGCCACCTACGATACATACGACTGGACAGCGAATTGTGTACCAAACGTTGAAGTTGAGGGTATTACACCGTCCGACGCTCAGGCTGAGCCGCATCGACAATGTTAACCATCACAAGGACAATCCCATTCAATGATTCCAGCGCAGTCCCCGTTCTTCGTGCGCTCGCCGAGACTGGGCTTATGTTATCACCAATATTCGGGTGAGTTGTCACTTTTCGCGCAGTATGGTACCAATGCTCGTCAGCCACGGACACACACTCCTCTTCAAGCCAACTTTCCACCGCTTTCGTCGATTACAGACCATCCACATTATTATTATCACTACTACTTTGTGTTTTCGACCCATGCAAGCCGCATTTTACCCATTCAATTTTCAGGGTCGAATTCCCGTGAGACTTTGATCAATCACGCCTCTTCAAATTCCCTGACTCCCTGATGCACGCTGCCCTGCAAATACGAGAACTGCTGGATCTCATTTGCACCGAATTGCGCCTGTGCAAAACCCGCCAAAGCGCAACTAGCCTGGCCAGTCTTGCGCGGACATGTCATAGCTTTATGGACTCCGCGTTGGACGCACTGTGGTTTACCCAAGACGGTGTTGCCAACACTCTCAACGTCTTCCCTGCCGACCTGCTTCGATGCATCAGCTCTGTGGATGGTGGTTTTGACCTGGTTCGCGGCCTCGCTCTCTGCTTCAATCCGGGTCCGGGTTTTCTAACCTTCTCGCAGTACCTCCGCCGACCGATTTGGCCGCACGATCTTCTTTACGCGCTGAGATACACACGACGTATTCGCCGCCTCATTTGTCCTCCACATCAAGAAGCTTCCCGTTTGCCGGCTCAAGCGTACGGCTTACTGGCGGAGGCCTGCTTTCTACACAAGATTGCGTTGTTCCCAAACCTTATGGAACTGAGCTGGCATATAAATGGACCTTCAAGTTGGGTGCCCAACCCTGATCTCACCTTCCGGAAGGAGGCCCTCTTTCCTAGATTCATCCTCTTATCTGCTGCGCGTCTCATGCGCCTTCGACTATGGACCAACCAGCACTCGATCTTGAGATTCTTGCTCCCTGTGGCCGACAGGTTCCAAACGCTCATGCTCGAGTACTACTCCCTCGCCGCATACCCAAAATATTCCGAAGTCATTCCCATCGCTCTTCGACTCTCAAATGTCCACTCACTATCCATCGGGAATTTGGATGATGCTGGCCTCTCCCATATCGCACGTCTTCCCTTGCTGGTCGAGCTGTCTCTTGCGTTTCCCAATCCAGGAATCACCGCTCCGGGTCACCTTGGTGAACGAAGCCTTCCATTCAAGTCTCTGCGCAGCCTTTGTCTGTTCGCAGGCATAGATCATTTTAGGGTCGAAACGCAATATTCTCCTGAGGACTCTTACGCAGTCGCTATTCTCTCATACTTTTTGCGAGCATGCGATACCTTGACGCTCTCATCGTTCATGGTGGACATAAAAGGGTTGGGAACTGAGACCATTACCGAGGTGGTGGATATGTTCTCGCAGCGCTGCGCCGTAACCCAGCTCACCCAAGTTGTCTGTCAGATTGACTCCATCTACAATGCACGGTTTCAACCGCACCCGTCATCGCTCATTCGGCCTTGCCTGCGCTACAACGATCTCCGCTGCCTCCAAATCGAGATAGGTTTTGGTTTGTGCGTGGACGACGAGTTGCTGGGGCAGCTCGCATACACGCTTCCCCTCATAGAAGTCCTCTCGCTGGCCAAAAACATCGCATACCAAGACCAAGAAGAATTCGTTAGCCTCAAGCCCAATTACGCCCCATCTTCGTATCCGAAATCTCTGGTTACGCTGGGCGGTCTGAGGGTTCTTGCTCAGTGCTGTCTTCATCTACGCGAGCTGCGACTTACCATAGACGCCTCCGAATCCATCTCGCCAGAAACGCGCCCCCCAGGCTTGGCCACAGTTCCGCCGTCGAGTTCAAGTTGCCCCCTCAACGTCTTCGATATTGTCGAGTCGTCTATTGGAACGAGCCCATGGCACGCCGTCTGGTTCCTCGCGATAGTGTTCCCCCATCTGCAAAGCGTGCGGGTGGTCAACGTCGAGCGGTCTGCGGAGGATTTGTATTTTGATGAGCCTGACGATTACGAAGAGATACTTACAGGATATGGGGAAGTGTGGCAGCAAGTGAGCGACTTGCTTCCACCAGTCCGCGATATTCTGAAGGAGCGACCGACTAGCAGCTGGGAGGACCTGGAGGATGTTCTTGGCCACCTTTTGCACACTTCGGGTTCGGAAGAGGAAGTGGAGGATTCTTAGACTCGGAGCTTTCTCCTGTTTAGCCTACTAGAGATTCGTAGTGCGTTTCCGATACTTGGATTCACTGGATTCACTGGCAAAATCATTTCCATTAAATAAAGTACGAGTAATGCACCAGATTGTTATTTCTCAGTACGATCCAAAGAGAAAACCGCCATCGAAACCAATCGTGCCTTGCAATTATTATGAACGGTCGTTAAAATAATCATAAAAAGAGATGCACTTATAGCTAGCCACGGTGAATGCCATGCGAAAGCAGCTTCTGTCGTATTATCCGTCACTTTACAAAAGAGCGAGTGTCGCGTTCCAAGTGGTGATTCGAAATTTCGGATTCGCTCAGTTGCAGGACATGGATAGTGAGTCGATGACTCTTGGCTTGTTGCGCTGACTAGGTCATCGTCCAATTATATCGTTCTATTCTCGCCTGCTGGTTCGCCTCGGGTCCTTGTCTGAAAACGTCTCACCAACACTGCACACATTGAGAAGCCACAGATGTTGCCGAATCCATAAGTTGAAGTCGTTCAGAACCTGCTATGTCGCAAGTGAGTAAGAGAAAGCCCGCAGAAACAACACAACACACCAGCTATCACCATTCGTACCCTTCAATTCAAGTTCTTTGGTGTCATTCCGTCTTGCAAAGCCGCTCTAGTTGAAGCCAAGTTGAAGCGGAAACAAGCTGATAAAGCGCGTTAAAAAAGATTGAACCTGCAGAATAGGGCATAGCCTACCACTTCCACAGAGCTCGCGTCTCCGCCAACTTCCTCGACTTGGGTTCCTGGCTTCAGCGAGGTTATCAGAACCACGACCGCCTTTTGGAAACCCCCAGGCACCACAAGCCACCAAGGACGGCCGCCATCTCTGTTCTCTTTTGATCCTCGTAAGCCCCAAGATATCGAGGGCGGTGGTCCGCGTCAGGTGCTACAGAAGGGAAAGGTTAGTGACGGGACAATTCGGAGTAGGTAATGACTGCTTACCTGGCTCCCAGGTAAAACGGTCCTGAATGCATTGCAAGGCTTCCGAGGAGAAGAGGAGTACGACAAGCGTTGGCGGAGCGCGTTATCGAAATGCGCTACAGAGAAGGGCGAGGAAGACTGAAACTGGACTGCTCAGTGGCGGTCGAGGTACAGGAGGACTGAATTACATAGCGGTGGCAGTTCGTCCCTTGTGCGCAACTTGGCCATCGGTGCTGCCGTCGGAAATGCAGGTGCCAGGGAGTGGTGGTACAGGTTAAGATGAAGATGAATCTCGGTCACAGTCACCTGCAGCCCTCTCTCTCAAACGACGATTTACAAGGAATGAACCGGGCTCAATTCTTTCTCTCTCTCTCTCGAAACGACTCCCAATCTCAGCTCCAAGTCTTGAACGGAGTTTAACGGTGTTCCTTAGACACAATATCGAGTGCTTGGTATCCAAGACCAACACGGCTGAATGTCAAGTCAAATTCGTCAAGTCCGAGACCGTTCACGAGAACAGAGGCTGAATACATCTCCCACGCAAAGGACATAGAGTGCCTTGTACGCAAACCGTTCCAAGCTCCGTCGCGGTCTGCTGACCACTCGATAGAATTCAATGCGATTCACGTCATTGACGGAAAGCCTTTCGAAATGGTATCTGGAATAGACACCTGCTGACGCTGCGACGGGCCAGCTTTCTCCCACCGCCAAGGTATAAATGGTAGGTCTCGACAAGGTATTGTTTGCGTCCCTCGTCTCTGCCCACATCAACTCCTCAACTTCGCTTGCCCAGAATGTCGAAAATGCGCGCAGTCGTCTACGATAAGCCGTTCAAGGTTACGGTCCGCGAAGTCGAGAAGCCCAAGATTCTTCATCCCGACGATGTTATCGTCAAAGGTACGAGCCCAGCCACACGTTCCAATATTGCTCACGATGTTGCTAGTGACGACATCCTGCATTTGTGGGAGGTATGTCATCCCGCTTTTCTCCCATTATCTACTGATTCGCGTTGAAAAGTGACTTGCACATGTACGAAGGCCGCACCGCTGCTCAAGCAGGTATCGTCTTTGGACACGAAAAGTGCGTTCCGTTAGCTTGCAAAAGCCCATTCACTAACTTTAACTTCAGCATGGGTATCGTCGATGAAGTCGGGTCTGGCGTTACCGTACCTGCTCCCTTCCCTATCTCCCGTTGTCATTCACTCTCGTTCACAGCTTCTCAAGAAGGGTGACCGTGTCGTCATGCCCTTCAACGTAGCCTGCGGTCGTTGCGTCAACTGCGAAGAAGGTCGTTCTGCTTTCTGCACTCTTGTGAATCCTGGTTTTGTACGTGTACAACTTAGTCCCGCGGAGCCACTCTTATCATCGTACAGGCTGGAGGGTAACTATCGTTTGCCATTTCTTTTCATGTTACTTACCCCGGTTACAGAGCTTACGGGTGCGGTACCTTTTCTCGATCTGTCAACCAAGCCAACGGTTTTTCTCCAGCTACGTTGCAATGGGTCCTTATCCTGGTGGCCAAGCGGTCCGTTTAATCATTTTCCTATGCATTCCTGCCAATCTATTTCAGGAATACGTCCGCGTTCCGTTTGCCGACTTCAATGCCCTCGTCCTCCCCCCCGGCACGGAACACGAGGAGGATTTCGCCCTTCTCGCTGACATCTTCCCCACTGTAAGAAAATTACGCTCTGCTCGGACTTGACTTTACTTAGTGCTCTTAGGGCTGGCATGGCGTTCAGCTTTCTGGCTTCCGCCCCGGCGAATCTATCGTCGTTTTCGGTGCTGGCCCTGTCGGGTTGATGGCCGCCTACTCTGCCGTTCTTCGCGGCGCTTCGGACGTATATGTGGTCGACCGTGTTGCCGAACGACTGGCCAAGGCGAAGGATATCGGGTGTACCCCCATTGATTTCGGCAAGGGTGACGCTGTTGACCAAATCTTGAAGCTGCGTGGCGGGTGCGTCTATCTGCTGATTACAGTGATAATATTTGTCTGACCGGAGGAGTAGAAAAGCAGTTGACCGTGGTGTCGACGGTGAGCATTTTCTTTTATGTATTGGATTGTGCTAACAGCGTGCCAGCTGTGGGTTATCAGGGTAACTCGTTCTTTTTTTTCGTTCGCGAGGCTTCTCACTCTTTCAAGCCACAACTGGAGACGGCAAGACCGAGGTCCCCAATGCCGTTATTGAAGCCCTCGTTCGCGTCGTTCGCCCAACAGGTGGACTGGGTATCCCAGGGCTTTACGTTCCCAGCGACCCAGGCGCACCAGATGCCGCGTCAGCTAAGTATGTCAATCACTTATCCATATCCTTCGGTTTTGACTTGTTTCCCCCAGAGGCTATATGAGCTTCCCATTTGGCAAGCTCTTCGAGAAAGGACTCACCCTTGGCACCGGCCAATGCAATGTCAAGGTGCGTCTGATTTGGTGCTGTCCTTTCTTTCCTCAGACAACCTGCAGGCATATAACCGCTACCTCCGCGACCTTATCATTGCCGGCCGCGCGAAACCATCGTTCGTCGTCTCGCATAACGTGTCTCTTGACGAAGCAGCCGATGCCTATGACAAGTTCGACCGCCGTGTGGATGGGTATACGAAGGTTTTGTTGCATCCTTGAACGGGTTTTTATCCATGTGGACAAGTGTAACTGTAAATGTAACATTAAACTTATGTACAAAGGGTTGACCTGACCGAGTACTTGTCTCTTGAAGTTAGTTGCGAATAGGCATCCGAGCCGGCATTTCAAGACCCGACTCCGGTGTCACGCGCACGCTCCCTCCCTCCCTCTTTCCTCCACTATCTACCATGGCAGCCGACCTCTCCCAAGTTGTGGGCCACGAACTTGATCCAAAGCCCGTATGTTTCGTCACTTTGCTCTTCTAGTCAAGCTTACACTTCCTGATGCCAGGTTTCTTGGAATCAACGCGACTTATTAACCTATGCAGTCGGTGTCGGCGCAAAAGCGGAGGATTTGAACATTGCATATGGTGCGTGGACAGCTCTCCAGAAGTCTTTTTCTTCCTAACACCCCCCGATAGAGCTTCGTAGGTGCCTCTTGAATCCACGACACGACACAAACTCGCTCTGACAGACAAGTCATTCGCCCCCCTCCCGACCTACCCTGTTGTCCTCCCCTTCAAAGGCGACTCGCCGGAGCTCAACAACTTTGCGAAGACTCTCTACGCGAAGCCCATTCCGTCAATGCCGCCCGTCGACCCGAATCGCGGTGTGGGTTGTCAACTTTCGTCTCCGTTCGGTGGATTGACGTGTTTTATAGGTACATGGCTCGCAGTCTATCGAGATACTGAAGGACTTGCCGTTGGTTAGCGGACCTGGCTGGACGTGGACGACCAAGTATGTTGGTGTGGCCGAAAACAGTGCGTGTTTCTTCTCATTTTCCTGCGCTGACTGACTCGGTTTCCGTCAGAGAGTGGCATTGTCGTTACCACAGAGAACACCCTCCTTGACCCAAAAGGCGTTGCCTACGCCAAGCTCTATGTGCGTTATAGTCACCTGTATTTGACATACCCTCATTCTGTTTGTAGAGCGCTTCCTTTAACCTCGGTGCCAAAGCCCTTGGGAAACCTTTCTCCAAATACGTCGCTGGCCCACCTCAGAGCAAGCCGATCCCCACAGACCGGCCCGCCGACTACGTCTTCGCCGACCAAACCACCTCAGAACAGGCGCTCATTTATCGCCTCAGTGGTGACTACAACCCACTGCACATTGACCCAGCCGTCGGAAAAGGCACTGGGTTTGGCGGGGTCATCCTCCATGGGCTTTCCACCTTTGGATTCGGTGCGCGCGCGCTTATCCAGACCGCCGGTGGAAACGACCCGCGGAGTCTGAGGCTGTTTGGCGTGCGATTTACATCACCGGTCAAGCCGGGCGATAGGTTGGAAACGTCTGCTTGGGAGGTCGGAAAAGGGCCAAATGGGACGGTGGAGCTGGCGTTCCAGACGAGGAATCTGACTAGCGGGAAAGTCGTGCTTGGCGGGGGTGTTGCGTTCGTGCGGAAGTTGATAACGAAGTTGTAGGGTGTCCACTTGAAATGACTAGCTGTTGCGACTTACGTATTCTGTTTACCCGTAGTAATCGGCACTTGCCCCTTCTCTCCTTCCACTCATGCATGCTGCTTTGCGGATACGCGAGCTCCTCGACCTGATCTGCACAGAATTGCGCCTGTGCGGGACCACGAAGAGCCGGCATGGGCTTGCAAGCATGGCCAGGACCTGTCACACCTTCACAGATTCGGCTTTGGACGCTCTGTGGTATTCACAACCCAGCATCCGACTCTTCCAGCTCATTCCCAATGAGCTGCTGGGATATGAACGCCAGGATGATCTGACAATGGCTTTAGTTCGCCCTCATTTTCCCAGCACTTACTGTTGTCTGACTTTCTCCGATTATGCAGCAGTTTCGCCGCCCAATTACGGCCCAGGACCTGCTTCATATTCTGCGAAATACGCGGCGCATCCGCCAACTGACCTGTTGTGGTCGTTACCGCGCCCATGTGTATCATGAATTGGTTTCTGCCGTTTACTCATGCCAAATTGGGTTGTTTCCCGCGCTGAGGGAACTGGTTTGGAAGCTGCCTTTGAGCAGAAGTGGGCCGAGGCAACACCCGTTCTGCGAGACTTGCGAACATCACATTGCCTTCTTCAAATGTATTCTCGCATCCGCTCCGCATCTACAGTCCCTCCGGCTCATTCAGGGACAGCATGAGCATTGCGAAAACTGCGACAGTCGTCTGAAGTCGGCTCTCGTACCGCTCCCTCTCTTTCCCGTTGCCAGCAATCCCGGGGAAGTCAAAGTCGATTTCTCAGCGCATATCAACTCCGGACTACTAGTACAGATAGCGGCTCTTCGAGTTGCCAGTGGGCTTTCCGACATTCGGGTGCTTTCCATAGGCCACGATATCAGTGACAGCGCCCTTTCCCATGCCGCTTCTTTCGCGTCGCTGAGCGAGTTGTAGGGTGCTGTGAGTAATTCATTTTGAATTACTCACACCTGTTTCGAAATCGGTTTCGAAACAGGCCCGTTTCGAAACAGTTTCGAAACAGGTGGCCCAGGTTAGGTAATTCTCTCGGCCTGCACACCGCCGCCGGCCGCCAGTAATCAAGAACTGGGGAATGTTCTTGGGTCACAGACAGTGGGTGTCAAAGCCGGATCCGAGGGACTGGGGCCGGCTGAGCCATGTGATTGGTGGTCGCTAGGCCGGCCAAGCCGAGCTCCGGGGCGCCGCAGCCGTGACAGTCACGTGTCGGGCATCCCGGGCCTGTTTCGAAACCGCTGTCGACCCCAGCGGAATTCAAAACTCACACCTGTTTCGAAACCGTTTCGAAACGGGTTTCGAAACGGCTTCAACTCACAGCACCCTCGCGAGTTGGCCCTTTCATTTCCTCTCAAAAACGAAAGGCCGGATTGGGGTCGCCTTGCTGAACGCGCTCTGTCATTCAAGAACCTGCGCATCCTCACACTCTCGATGCCCGTGCCCGGGACCGGAGACTCTGATAACAAGTCGGCATTTCAACCGCTCATTTACTTTCTCGGCGCCTGTGGTACCCTTATGCTCTCCTCGTTCGCGGTCAACTTGAATATCGGAGACTTGGACCGAGACATTGGAGTTGAACAAGTCACTCGCATATTCGACATTTTAGCGCAGCGCAGCGTTACCGTATCACCTGGAGACCGCCGACTTGAAGTTGCTGCTCCACTTACCGAGCTCCGTTGCTTCATTACTGCCAGTGCTTATTACGAAGATTCCAACCCTGTTCCATACACACTCATGATTGACCCCATTCTTCGCTTCAGTATGCTGCGGGAAGTCCGAATCAAGATGGGATATACGCTGGACATCGATGATAAATTCTTGGAACAGCTTGCGAGGTCATGGCCTTTGATAGAAATCCTCTCGATCGCCCACAATAATACCCCGCCACACTCGGACTCGGACTCGGACTCAGACTCGGACTCGGACTCAAACTCAGACTCGGACTCGGACTCTTCGTCAGAGCACTGGCAGGACCGTGCCAGTGACTTGGATCTTATCAATCCCCAGGTCACATTGTATGGACTACGGGCTCTCTCTAAACACTGCTGTTACCTGCGCGAACTTACGATCTCCATTGATGCCACCGTTCGGGAGTGCCAGCGGGATGGATCGCCGTTGGAGACTGACGGCCTGGTGCTGACTTCTGAGTCCAGGTGCCCGCTGACAATGTTCCATACGGCACAGTCTTCCATCGGCTATTCCCCCTGGCTGGCGGTTTGGTTCCTAGCTATGGCTTTCCCTCAGCTTAGAAAACTTGAAGTCGAAGAACTTCAAGACGGTAACTGGGAACTGTGTGACAGTGAGAGGTATGCTTATGTGTGGCGCCAAGTCAGCGAGCTTCTTCCTGCGGTTCAGGAAGTGCTTCGAAAACACCCAAGAATGCGGCACAAACAATTGAAGGACATCCTGGACCGAGAAGATATTTTCACTGACTCCGACTCGGACGACTCTGACTCGGAAGACTCTGACTCGGAAGACTCTGTAATAACCCACTGTAGTTAGGAATTCCTACTAGTAGCATTTGAAGTGGCTGTAGATAACAACAGTCTTCAATGAATCCCACTGGGCAAGTAGCAAGGGTCAGACTTGGAGCAATATGCGCTTGCATGTCCATATGACTGGGTCGAGAGCACAAGGTGGTAATAACAACAACTTCAATATTCGCACCAACGACAAGGGAGCTCTGCCTACGAACGGAAGCGATGGTCATCACAACTACCACGAAACCTCGATATAGGTTATTTGCGTAGTTGGATTTGTCGAGAGGATCAGATGGAATGCACGGAACTGAGTACGAGTGAGTATCTGCAGATACAGACGAAGACCATCCGCATACCTCTTCTTGCACGCAAAGTCAGAATGGCAATGGGCACAATGACTCTGAGGAGCTCATTATTTTTTTACGGTAGCCACTCCTATACTGTTATGCATATTTTCGTCAGAAAGGTGTGGAAAGAGCTATTAGAACCGCGCACGCTCGTGTAACAGCTTAACAGGGCCGCTCCTGGTAAGTATAATGATGTTTGAGTTATCGATGGTGTGCAGTTACATAGAGACTTGAGGAGGTTAAGCAAACGCAGAGACAGAGAAGAACACGCACCTAACCACTCTGTCCGACACTCGCAGAATGGACGCAAGGGGTTCGGACATGACATGTAGACCGGAATGTAAGACAGTCTCGGGCTTCCCAGAAGGTACGGGGTTATCCACACAGCGTGTTCAAGGCGCAATTGAGCGGAAAATGTAGGATAACCTGCTGGTATTTGAGTAAGAATAGTCGCAAGGGAAAGTGTGGACACGAACTATCTCCAAATCGAGTGAAGTATCTTTCCATATGGGATTCATCCAAGGCTGGAATAGCGGTGGAAAGCTGACTTGAAGAAGAGTATCCGTGGCTGACAAGCATTGGCACCATACTGCGCGAAAAAGTGACAACTCACCCGAATCCACCCATTCACGCTAGCGCCTCCACGAGCCTTTCATTCATTCGAGAAAGGTCGACCTGAGCTCGACGACAGGACATTTACATCGAAAATGTGGCAGGGAATGGCTTGAAAGATATCAAGACCAGGATGACGCTGGAAGTAGTATACAGACTTTTTTCACCCTCCTTTCCGCTGCAGTTTGAGTTTTCCGGGGTAGCGGCTGCTATGGACCATGTCGGAGTGGGTATTGAGAGCAGAGTGAAAGGTGGACCACTTGATGGTCATGGTCGAGGAAAAAGCCGCAGGCTGAGGGTTGGCTGAGGGTGTGACACGCCTCTTCGTCAAATTCGACATCTTTGCTACATATTTACATACAAAGGGTGGTGCTACCGACTGCAGAGTTGGGTAAAGAGGGTGAAATGGGATAACAAGAAACAACACAAGTCGGAGGAGGCTCAGTGGAAGAACTCTACCTCCTTTTCCTTCCATTCCTCGCCAAGATGATAGTCGATGACCTGGAAGCCTAACGCCGTTGCCTTTGGAAGTGCGACCCGCATCGCCGCTGCATACGTCGCCAGCATTCCACTGTGTACGGGATCTTCGACAGGTAATGTGTACTTCACGGTCCTATTGGTAGGCATCTTGCGGATGCGGGACGTGTAGAAACGCGGAACACAGCAGCTGGTGCGCGAGGGAGCGGAAAGGAAAGTCTCCAGGAGGGTGTCTGTCATGTTCGCGAAGTCATCGAAATATTCCGGTTGGCCCAGCCAGTGGTTTAGCGAGCCGTATTCGATGGACATGTCTGCACGAAGACATACTCGGGAGAGCAAAGGCGCATTGGCTAGCAGGACTGACATGATGTCTAGCACATCACTCGGAGGATCCAAGGCTGGCCCGTCGCTTGGGTTCTCGAAGTCGATCTGGAGAAATCGCAGCTGGGGGAGAGGCGCAACTCTAAGGTCGGCGATTGCGAATCGCTGTTCGTCAACTTCAGACACGGATTAGCTAGTCAATGCCGCTTGGACAGAACAACATACCAGGTATTTCAATGGACAGATACTCCAAGGTCGCACCGACGGCCACACAGAAATCATAAACCCGAGATCGTATGGGTTCAAAATCGGGGCTCCAGTCTTCTGTGTCAAAGCCAGATGTATCAAGGACCAGAACACGCAAGATTTTGGTGTGTGGAAGAATGAATTTGTACATTGCTGGGTTGCTGATGTCAAAAATGCCCATTTTGAGTCGATGCGTGTCTTGGGACGGTACCACAACGGGCAAGGTCTCTTGTTCTTTTTCGAGGGTGAGCCATGGAAGCGATAGGGTGGGAATGGCCCTCAAGAAGGGCGTTATGAATGAGCGCGGGACTCGCTGGAAGCCTCGTAGCTCGAGCTGCCGCAATGTCCCGCGCGCAACTCCATCTTGGATGAACGCAACGATCGCGGTTTGTAATAAGCTTCCAGTCCAGGGAGACGAGTGCCGGTTGCGGTGGGTGGTCGATATACTTGCGGATTTGACATGCGGAAGCTGCTTTAGTATCTTCTCGACAAACTCGTCGAAATCGTCTTCCAATGCTCGGATCAAGAACAAGTCCAGGGAGCAGACATAGCCGGCCAGGTGCGGGGACTCATCGAGATGTGCGACAACCACATTGGCGGAGCGATCGTACGAGGTGGTGCCATTGTCCACGCGAAGATGCTTCCAGAGTCGGCGCTGAGCCGGGCCACGAAACATCCGCGCGGCCACACTGCATGCCTGAAGCGTCTGAGTGTCGTGGATAAAGCTGAGGATGTGTTCTATGAGTTCGGCGGCAAGATGTCTGGTCATGGAGGATGTCGACGTTGATGCAGCACACGTGATGATGAGTCATGATCGGCGGACGCGACGCGACTTGTCTTTTGCCGTCATCTCAGAATCGTTCCAGAACCTTTTCCCCCCAGCAACAGCGATGACCAAGCCGAGTAGACAGTGCTCACACTACGCTGGACGGACCCCGGCTTGCGCTGGTCACAAAAATGGGAGGAGATGGACAGATGAACATCTTTACCCCCATGGCTGAAGCAAGTGAGCAGAGTGTTATGGCGCAGCGTATGTGGCCCTCGATTCTCTGTCCTGCTCTTCGTTGATGAAAAACCTTCGCAGTAATCCTTGAGATTCTCATCGGGTCGAACTCGGAACCACCAGTGCCCCACCAAAGCAGCAGGCTCGTTAGCCAATGTACTTAGGACTTGCAAAACGCAGGCTTTGCAGTCTGAAACGCAAGCAAAGAGTGTAATGTCCCAATGTCAGTGAATCAAGCCTTGAAGTCGTGCTTTCCGCTCCGCCATGCAAGGGTGTTCCAAGGATGAGGTGCGTAGCCATAATCTTTATTTGCTTCCTTTCGCTAACCAGCAATCCATGTATAGGTCTTCGATGCAAGCGCCAACACGTCCTTTAACTCAGCATTCTTGAACTCAATTCATCCGCATCTTTTCGCCCATTACTGTCAATCCTCATCGGTCCGAGCTTTCCGTCAGGATGTGGAGAAGACTACCAGTATGCCGCTCTGCAAATCTTCGCCTCGAAACCCCTCCAATTGGTCTCTATGGATCCGGGTGGCATTCGGTATGTGCGCTGTATTCTGCGCTTACAGGCCCTCAAAGCTTTTTTTAGGGTTCCATACAACGTCGCATCGGAATACCTCCTACCCGTGGGTCAACTTTCAATATTTCAATCCGGAAGGTAGATGAACTAGCATCACTCAGTCCAATCTATTAGGTTTGCATCGACGAGCATTGTTTTCCTGTGCACTTAAACATCTGTGTTATTTCATATTATGATACCTTTTCTTCCCTCTCGTTCGTACACGACACCACCTTTTCGATGACCCATGTTCGTATCTTCACTGTTTCTCCTACTATTTGCTGACTATCCACTCTCAGCCTCTGCTCTTCGAGTAACCATCGATACGCAATTTATGTGTACTCCGAGTCGTTTAAAGCTTATCGATCTGGGACGCAAGTCTATTTTGGACCCTGCAGGGTCGAATTACCGTGAGACAAGTCTAGGTCATGAACGCCTCTCCTTCTTGACCCTCACGATGCATGTCGCCTTGCAGTCGGAAGCGATCCTTGGCCTCCTTTGTACCGAGCTACGGTTGTCGGGAACCCAGGCGGACCGACATGGCCTGGCCAGTCTTGCACAAACCTGCCGTTCGTTCGCGGAGCCGGCGTTGGACGCACTCTGGTTCACCCAGCCCGACATTGCCAATGCTTTCAAGCTTTTTCCAGAAGACCTCCTTGAATACGAGCCCCTTGACGATGGTGGCTTCTTTTTGGTTCGCAGCTATCTACGTACTTTTGCGATGCACTTTTCTGACACTGGGTAGCATTTTCGTCGACCCATCCGGGCTGAAGACCTGCTTCACATCTACAACTATACACGCCGTATTCATGAGCTCACCTTTCCCCCCTATAATAAGAGCGGCTATCAAGGCCTGGCTCCAACGCAGTATGTGCATCTTGCGATGGCTTCCATGTTCCTCTATCAAATCGAGTTATTCCCAAACTTGACGGAGCTGTCCTGGGAATCTGACGATGCCTGGAATGTTCATAATGTCGGATCCGACGGACCATTTCTCTTTTTCCAACAAACAGTCGCGTACCATGCTCCATGTCTCACACGCCTTCGACTATGGACGAACTTCCGTTGGAACTTGGAATTCATTTTGCCCGTTGCCAGTACGCTTCAAATGCTCGCGCTCGAATACTGTTCTACATACCCATGTTACCAGCAAGTAAACCCGGTTGCCCTCAAGCTCTCCGATATTCAAGTGCTGTCCATCGGTAACCTGGATGATGCTGCTCTTTCTCACATTGCACATCTCCTATCGTTGACGGAATTGACTCTCGCCCTGCCCGGCCAGGGGATTCCACCTGACTCGGGCTACCTCAGCGAGCGAACCCTACCCTTCAAGACCTTGCGTGTCCTCAACCTTTGTGTAGTTCCAGGAGAACTACGAGCGCCTCAAACTGCTCGCGGGCTTGATGCGCTCTTATATTTCATCCGTGCCTGCGACACATTGACGTTATCATCGTTTACGCTAGACATCCAAGAGTCCGGCGCATCGGGTGTCACCGAGGTCTTCATTGCCTTATCACAGCGCTGCTCCGTGACGCAACTCACCCAGATATCTTGTGGCCTCGACTCTTTCGACAAGGCGCTATTCGAACCGCATCTCCCCTCACTCGTTTACCCTCTATTGCATTACCCAAATCTTCGTCAACTGCAAATCGAAATCGGTTTTGGGCTGACTATCAACGATGCATTGCTTGAACGACTTGTGCATGCGCTACCCTGCCTCGAAGAGCTCTCGCTGGCCAAAAATATCCCCTACCGTGAACAAAAGGCTATCAGCCTCCCGCACCCAAGCCTAACGGTTGACCTCTACATCTTTCCCTACCACGACCCAAGGTCGCTCGTCACACTTGGTGGCCTGACAGCTATCTCTCAGCACTCTCTTCGTTTACGCGAGTTGCGTCTTTCCCTGGATGCTTCCAAACTCGAATCGCTCGCTGGAGGCCAGGCCCAGGTTCCTGCTGGCGGCTGTCCACTTAGGGTATTCCACGCCGCCGACTCGCGCATTGCCGCTCCATGGCCGGCGGTCTGGTTTCTTGCGAAGGCGTTTCCCGAGCTAGAAAGTGTCGCATATAACAACGTCGAGCGGACTGCGGAGAATAGACTTGGAGAAGCCAGCCCGGACCGGCCGGATGCCTACGAGCGAGCTCTTGTAGGATACGGGAAGGTCTGGCAGCAAGTTAATGACGCCCTTCCCGACGTTCGCAATTCGCTCGGCGAGAAGCCCAACAGTAGCCACGAAGAGCTGGCGGAGATCCTCAGCGGCCTCAGAAATCTGGCTATGATTTAGGGTCAGCACCAGTAAAGAGAGTCGGCTGAAGGGGTTGTCAATGCGAAGCAGGCCTAACAAGCGGGCCGGGTTGGAATGTAGAGAACTGTTGACCAAGATGCAGCGAAACTTAGAGCATACATAAATTTGTTTTGTTAGAAAGTGTAGCTTCAGCAGTTTCGGTTGCGAGTGTATGATATTACGATTTGGTGTGTGAAGGGTCGGTGGTCACAGATAACACATCCTGCCTTCCTCTTCCTCGACAGCCATGGGTATCATGAGCTCATGCATGTCGGTGACGCTTCCCCGACCGCTATGCCTCGAGCTTACTGTACCCTTTACAGCCCCAAGCATCCTCGAAGCATATCAAAAAGGAAATAGCGAGCGAGCTCAAGTAGGAATCAAGGACCAGCAGAAGGCAAAGAAACCTCGTTCGTCGGCCGGTCTAGCTGGACAACCGAGCTTCCGACGACGACTATATCTCCCGTGCGGCCGTGCCCGCATTCAGGACAGAGCAGCAAACTCAATGCCGCAGCAGCGGTTCGTGATTGCCCACTTCCACATCTCCTCACTCAGACATCTACAGGTTACCGTGGCCCTACTCGGCACTCTCAGGCGGGACTTGCTTCGTATTTCGGCTACTACATGTAAAAACAGGCCGCTGGCTGGTCGCGTTTCGGGCAGCCCATAGGTGCGTTATCATTCAGCAGCTGGTGGGATGGTCCCTCATTTAAATTACACTTTCTCAGATGCTGGCTGCTCTGCTTCCTGCCCTTCTCCAGCCCACTTGGGACAACGGTCCTCCTTCAAGTTCTTCACCACATTCTTCTTTCCAACGTGGCGGTTCGCACTGCGCAGATGGATGGGCAAGAATGCGACCAACGCCAGCATTGTCTTCTTGTGGACTAGCAGCTGGGGGACGGAAAACGAGAGGCTCCGGTAGTGGGAACAACATGGAAGGCAGCATCGAAAACTGCTCTGTTTCTCGCGGCGGACCCGACCTCAAATTGTCTCGCTCTCATTTCGTCCTCGTTTTGGGGGTTTGGGCCAGGCGTTTTTTGAAGGTTCGCTTTAAATTATTTTGAGGGCGCATTGGGGCAAGCAACTTTTCTTCTTGTATTCGATAATTCTGCTCATAACCTTTGGCCACTGGCAGACACAAGCAACGTTTCACTTCGACTTTCTCGTCGAGTAACTCGAGTTGTTATGGTCGTGAAAACTGATAGTGGTGCAAGGTGCTTCTTCAACTTGTCTTCTGAGTCTAATGATCATTGACTATGTATATTCCGGAACTAGATGCCCCCACATCCTCTTTTGCTCCCTTTCCTTCTACTCGCTAGCTAAAGCAACAAAGCTTTGAAGCCGAACTTGCGCATGCGAAAACCGGGACCCATGGCTACTCAGGGGGACCCGAAAACTATCATTTATAGCTGGTTCAACGACAGCAAGGCTACGCCGTAACTCCACAAAAGCCGTTCCTCCTCTCGTCGGCACGTGACTACGACACAGCCACGTCAATTTGGAGTCCTTCGTCGTTCCCCATGCTTTGCACATAGGTGCCTCAGAAACCCGACTTCGTTGCTATACCCAATCATATCCTTCAACATCGTGCAATAGGTCGCTCCAAATCGTCATGATTGGACCGATTGGTTCACAGTTTTTTTTGCCTCGAAGATTTTGTCGTTGGGTGCCATTGCTGGCCCAGTTGGGTCGCAACAACCAGCGGCTATGGCTTCAAACGCGTCCTATCGTCCTTCACGTTCATCCAAGTACCTGGACTTTGGGGCGGCCCGTTCTTCCGCAAGGTTACTCGAAGGAAACAGCAGGCAACTCGAACGACAAAACATGGCACCGGATATTTACCAGTACATCGGGGACTGGAGGAGTTTGAGACGAATATACTCTGGATGAAGCGTTGCATCCCGGATACGCAGACCTTCGCTTTCTTCCAGTCAACTCCGGGTCCGTCAACGCTTGCGTATATCAGCAGTGTACATTCGCCTATTGAATCCTTAGTGGTCCTCTTTGTAACTAAGTTTGTGTTTTATACTTCTCGAATGTTTGTTGCTGCGCAGTGACCTTCAAAACATTGTGTATGAATCGATATAATGCATGTGTCCAAACACACTTGCTTTTGCCCATAGTACCACAGTTCGTTCCTTGGAGTCGGTCTCGCCGTCGGCTGCCCCACATGCCCGTGCCTACGCCGCTCTTCAACGATTTGCAGCACAAACCCTGAAGCTTGTCGCACTCCCTCAGGCATCGCCAACAAACGGATCCGGACAAAGCAGTGATCGTCAAAAGCAGGCCCTGTCGGTTGTCTTCAATCGTAAACAGCCATCATGATAGCATTTCAATGCCACAACGCTTAGCAAACGAACATTCCTAAAAGAAATTACTACTTTAACAAGTCTCGACTTCGGCAAGTATGTACTGTACTATATATATGGCACCCACCTCTTGCTGATTACTTAGTTCCCAATGTATACTAGAAGAAATTACTGCACAGCTTCCGGCCGGGCCTGCTGCTGCTGACATTTCGCCAACTCCGCCATAAGCCGTCCATAGCTATCAATGCCCAGCCTCGTCATCTCATCCACCAGTAAAAGCACCTGCATTGTCTGCTGCCAACGATGTCCATAGTCCATATACACTGCGCGTAGCCGCGCTTGTTCGTCATCGTCTGTGGCCACAAGCTCACTTTCGAATATCTCGCGGGGCATCACATGCGGCGTCTTGATCTCCTGGAGACTGGGGAACGTAACACCGAGAAACCAGCCCACCGCCAGGGGGTTCGTGACCAGCGAGTCGCACGTATTGAAGAATACCAGGGGGCAAGCATTGTGCTCCGGCCACGGTTTGCTGTCGGCGGTGGACACCGTCGAGCCAAGCCCGGGAGTCTCTGACCATGATTCTGGCACCGGAAGTGTTGTGTCGACGGACAGAGAGAGATATTCGAGATGTAAACAGTGTTGCGCAAGTCCAGCAAGGCCAATTAGCGTCGCGCGTGGCCTGGGACTTCGCGGAGGGGGTACTGAGGGAGGGATGGGTCCAGTTGCGGTGTCGTCTGGGTCCGCTTGAGAGCGCTTGAGGTATAGACGTTTCAAGAGTGGCCAGGACTGGGCGGCATTTGCCAGGAAACTATCATCAACGTCTATTCCGAAGGGCAGCTCTATGTTGATGTCGGAAAGGCTGGTCATGCGAAGGAGGGGTCGTAAAGCGACGCCGATGTTAAAAGATACCATGGATGTTCGAATGAGAGGGTCGTTTGGCAGAGAAAGGAAGTTGATATTCTGAAGAGTGTTTGGTGCGCAACCATCAACAAGGAGGCGAAATATGTCCTCGAGAAGCGCCGCATTGGGGACCTCATTCATGACAGTAATTGTGAGAGATCTCAGGGGGACGCTCCCATTTTCCCATGACTGCAGGAAATCCCGCAGTTGCTGAAGATCTCCGCCGCATGCCTCGTCGACAGTAGCCTTTAATGTTTCAAGGGACGGAAACGGGAGGGTTTGTGCCATGATCAATTCTAGCCGTGCATTGGCAGGAGCTGGAAGAAAAATTTCGAGAGTCTTCAAATATTTCAGTCGTCCAAGTTCTTGTGTCGCAGGCACGTCGAGATTGGAGATAACAAGCTCCTTAACGGCGGTGAGCGTTGGAATGAGGGCAGAGACGTACTGCATTGCGGGAAGAAACGCTCGAGCACTTGACAGTCGACAGTGTGTCAAGGATTGAACACTAGTGGACTGGCGGATGAGGGACAAGAGAGCATCACTGCCGGTCTCCGCATATGCGATATCAATGGAATGGAGGAACGGGCCGAGGAAGATGGATAGCCATTGGTTGTAGCGTTCGGTATTTCGCACCATCCAGTCAAGCCTTCTGATATTGGGGAAAATGATGGTGCCGCGAAAATGGTTAAAGAGACCGTCGTATACCATCCGGAGGTTGACCCAAGGAGCTCCGCCAGGGAGTCCACCGCTAAGATGGAAAATACCGCATGCTAGATTGCGGACTCGTCTGGCATATCGGAGAAATACGACAAAGTCGTTCTCATTGGCGGCGCGACAGAAGACCTAGAATATGGGTTTGCTGACACCTCATGTTCGGCAAACGAGCACATACCCACGCGCTTTCCGGTATCCACACCCCACAAATCGTCTGGCAAGAGTCTAATAAGATTGAAGATCGTGTCCTGCGAAAACCACAAGGTGTCCAACGCGCTTTCAGTGAACATCCGGGAAGTCCGTGCCAGCGTGGCTAAACTTTTGTGGGGCATTGGCGGCAGCTAGTTCGGAGCAGATGAGGCCAAGCAGCTCAGCGGTCTCCAGCACGATATGCATGAATGGCAATCAGAGGGAGAGAGAGCAGAGAGAAGCTTGAGACGCGACCGTGACTGTTCTCACGCCGTTGCCTCATCCCACCCATCCCCCCAATTTCGTCTTCCCAGTCGTCTCCTACTTGTCCGCCGGACAAGGACATGGGAGCAAATTAGTGGTGTGTCAACCACAATCCTTCCCCCTCTATTTTCTCATCGGTCGGGTAGCCTTCGCAACACAAAAGAGTGGTGGAAGCTGGGCTGCGACTGTGTTCGCAGCCACTCCTACCTGTGGCATCTCAAGCTTGCTGAGCCTCAACAAATCCGGATTTCGTGCATGTTGTTCTATACACATGGCCGTGGCCCCGTGGCTGCTGTCGCGGTTGGATAGCCCCTGCAATACGCGGACGACCAGGGAAAGCAATTAGGGCCGGGGTGCTGCAGTGCGTTTCTTTCTGCCGCTTAAATGCCCATACGAAGGCCACAAGTTCCTCTCCGCTCCCTCTTCGCCATGTCCCATCTACGAAACCAGACATGCTCTTACTCGAGTCCTCATCAGTCCAGCCCAAGCAACTATGGCATTTTCTGTGCTGCATTCCACATGATGTTACTATCGGAACCTACTGGACGGTCATTTTATTAAAGGTGCGGGACCATATATCCTTAGGGAATGGCATGGGTATACCCACGGGTATCCAAGGGC